GTGGGAGGAGGAGGAGGAGGTGCTATTCTTCCTGAGGAGGAGATGTTTGTTAAGAATCTCCCAGGACAGATGAGGCATTGCGGCAGTCTGCCGTCACATGAGCGAAGCCACAATCCAGACAAAGAGACAAGAGTGAGAGGAGAGAGAGGAGGCTAATGACAGAGAGGGGGAGGAGGAGGAGGAGGAGGTGGAAGAGGCGATCGTCTCTCTCTGGCCCCGTGCCACCAAGATAAATACCTGGGTGCTTGTTTATTTATGTAGCGTGGCATTTTGCAGAGGGGTGGGGTCGTGGGCTGAATGAATAAACGGTAGAGTTGTCTAAATCCCTCAAAACGACCCCAGTGAGACAAGCACCCACTGACTGGACGATAACGGGGATCCAGATAAAGAACAAAGCTTCCAAAACTTTAGTTAAGATTCGTCTGGAGAACAGAAATGTGCTTTGATCCTTTTTTTCCCCCGTAAAGTTGAAATTGCACTAAATATCGGTAAAAGAGTGGAGAAAATGTATTTTATGTCCTGAAACACATTTGGCTGAATGTTTTGAACCCACTTTAAGCACTGCGATATGATAATGTGAAGACGTTTGAGCTGCAACTGTAGAGGTGATTTTTGCCTCATCGGCAGTCAGTTCGCACAGCTGTCATCAGTGTGTGTAATGTTTAACACCAGGCGAATCTGTAGTCAACAATTACAGGTCAGGAAAAACAATGGTTTATTGAATTAGCAGGAGCCCGTTATTAAGGGCTAGTGTGGTTATACATCATCTTTAGTAGTACAGTGGTTCCCAACCTTTTGTGCTTGTGACCTTTTCACCTGAGATTGTTTTAGACTGCAAGAGTTGGTTCTTAATTGGATTTTGACAGTTGATTGTTAAAATCACTGGTTTTGGCAAATGTAAATATGTTCTTTGTCTTCTATGATAATAAATTGAATATAATTGGGTTGTTGGACTGTTGGTTGAACAACACGAGCAGTTTGAAGACGTCCCCTTGGGCTCAAGGAAACACATTTCACACAATGCTGACATTTTATAGACCAAACAATTTATTGAGAAATTGATGAAAATAAAAGGCAATCAATAGGGAAATGATCGTTAGTTGTAGCCCTAGTTAAAAATACCCAGAATTTCATGAGGAAAAGAGCAATAATGTGTGTAACATGGGAAACACAGGCAGGGAACCACTG